CTAGAAAGTGCATCTGCAAAGGATCCATTGTTTGTTGGAATGCTAGAATGCAACACGCCAAGGGGTTGTGACGTCTACATCTTCATTTGGTTGACCCGCGGGTCCGAAAGAAAATTGACCGTACTTCCCACCTGATCTTGCGACTTCTTGCTACCCTTGATGGCATTCACCATTATCCACATCCATGACGACAGAAATTCCCGATCTCGAAAGTAGGGTGTCAAGATCTCCAAAGAGCTGGAATTCCTTCGATAAGCGGCTCTCAATCTGCGAAAAAGATGGGAATCGCGCCAACAGCTGCAATCACAGGTCAGAGGCCATCGGAACTGCCTGCAGGAGCCCCACGTTGGAGCAGTATTAGTTGGATCCGCCACCGTCACCGTCGTCACCGTCACCGCGACGAAGTGAATCCGATGACTGATTCCCATCGATGCTCAACTCGTCTGGATCAATTCAACAAGTGCGACACTATGACATACTATGACCATACCCTATGCAGTCTATACCAGTCTTGAGATCTCTTAAGCGTCTTAAGTCTTTCATTGACGTGAGTGACATGTCAATTGTAGAATCCATGGAATGTGTGTTACCAAAAAAGTTGACCAAAAGTGTTTTCCAATCCCTTTTTCAAATCAAGATTCAAAATGATTCGCAACTTCCCTGCGGAGAAAAACTTGCATTGGTTGACACTGAGCCAGAATCTACTGCGTGTTCCACCTGTCGCCAATTCCCAATTCCATCACAAAGTCAGCAAGACCTGATTTGACCAAACCATATTCAAAGATCCACGCACCCCTGTTCGGCACCGTCAATTGGGCGGATTCCGAAATCAACCTCTCCTGTCAATCCGAGAAAAAAAATGCCCAATTTCAAAAAAAATGTCACTGACCCGCCAGATATGGGTTCCGGGACTCGCCTCTGCGTTTCTTTTCTTTCTCTTGGCCTACAACATTAATCCCATCCCGCCCATCCCCATAGTGATGATTGTAATAAGGGTAGGAATGAGGAGGATGCAATGAAGATCATGATGGACCCCCATCTTTTCCACTTTGGCGGCATGCTCCCCCTGGCAATGGGTTTGTTGAAACTTGAAACTATTGATGCGCTTTCTCCTGAACGATGTCACTCTACACACTTCAAACAAATGAACATCCCTGATCGTCAAGTTCCATTGCGTTTTTTCCCTGCTTTCAAGCACTTGCCAAATGCTAAGGTATCCACCACCAAGCGCCAAAACATCACGTGACGAAGGGATGTTGATGTTGATGCTGTTGTTGTTGTTGATGATGATGATGTGGTTGATGTGGTTGATGTGGTTGATGTGGTTGTTGTTGTTGATGATGATGATGTTGTGGTTGTTGTGGTTGTTGTGGTTGTTGTGGTTGTTGTGGTTGTTGTGGTTGTTGTGGTTGTTGTGGTTGTTGTGGTTGTTGTGGTTGGTGTGGGTGTTGTGGTTGTTGTGGGTGTGGTTGTTGTTGGTGTTGTTGGTGTTGTTGGTGTTGTTGGTGTTGTTGGTGTTGTTGGTGTTGTTGGTGTTGTTGGTGTTGTTGGTGTTGTTGGTGTTGGTGTTGTTGGTGTTGTTGTTGTTGGTGTTGTTGTTGTTGTTGGTGTTGTTGGTGGTGTTGTTGGTGGTGTTGTTGTTGGTGTTGTTGTTGGTGTTGTTGTTGGTGTTGTTGTTGGTGTTGATGTTGGTGTTGATGTTGGTGTTGATGTTGGTGTTGTTGTTGGTGTTGTTGTTGGTGTTGATGTTGGTGTTGATGTTGGTGTTGATGTTGGTGTTGATGTTGGTGTTGATGTTGGTGTTCATGTTGGTGTTCATGTTGGTGTTCATGTTGGTGATGTCGTTGTCGTTGTCGTTGTCGTTGTCGTTGTCGTTGTCGTTGTCGCTGTCGCTGTCGCTGTCGCTGTCGCTGTCGCTGTCGCTGTCGCTGTCGCTGTCGCTGTCGCTGTCGCTGTCGCTGTTGCTGTTGCAGTTGCTGTTGCTGTTGCTGTTGCTGTTGTGTTGTTGTTGTTGTTGTTGTTGTTGTTGTTGTTGTTGTTGTTGTTGTTGTTTCTGGAGGTGTTGTTGTGTTATTGTCGCTGTTACTATTGCTGCTGCTGCTGTTGTTATTTCTGCATGTTGTACGCGGCCCTTGACACGCACACGGGGCAATTTTTCAAAGGATTTATGCCCGGAGAAGGCTTGGAGGAAGGGCGCAGCACCCCCAACGAAACACAGCAGAACATTCATGGTGCGTCGTTCTTTTTTCTGTCTATCCTTCCTTTATGTCTGTGTATCGTTGCTTCGTTCTTCGTTCCTTCATTCCTTCTTTCCATCCTTCCGTCCTTCTGCCATCTTTTTTGCATCTATTTTCTCTGGACAAAATAAATCTGAATATAACTTAATAATGCAAAAAGAGCAATGTGGCAACGCAGTGAAACTAAAATGTTGTCACTTGTCCCTTCGTCAGACATGTGTTGTGGAATTGAGTCCTACTTTTGTGCATTCGACTTCGATGAATTTGGAATCGTAGACCCTGCAAGGAGCTCAAAAAGAATTAGCTGTCAGGAAGTTGCTACAGCTAACCCATCTCAGTCACTCCATGCATTTCAAGTTTAAATAGGTATGCAAACACGTGTCAGCGATAAATAAATTAAAGATAATTAAAGTTGACTGCAAGCGGATCGAAAGCTTGCCCAAATTCTACTCGAGCTCAGAAAAAAATGGCATTTCACAAAAGCTTCTTGGTGGTGAGCTCAGCATTCCTCCCAAAAACATCAAAGAACCTAGTATTTAGTGTGTCACAGGACAATGCTGCACAAGTTTTTGTCTCAAAAGGCACAGGGCACTTAGTTGCCCAGACTGCGCTTGAACGAGCCTCGCAGTGCAACTTTCAAGTTGATCAAGCTTCAACGTTCAATCAACCTGGCCACAACAAACGGCCAGTTCGGCATTGATCGACGGCAATATGCAAATCTCCATCCCTGGCTTTGGTGGGTCAAGAGCCCGTACCAGCATCAGCCAAGACTTTGTCACTCCCGTTTCAAGAACTCTCATTTTGGACCGGTCCGTAGAAAGCTCAAAATCTGATCAACATGAATCAACATCAACAATCCGTACAACTGCAACTAACTCCTCGGTTTCATCAGCTTAGTCGAAGTGCCCATGTATTCTTCAACCAACGCAGAGTTTCCAATTTCCACTTCGCGGATGTTCTAACAAAATTTGGGGAATAACTAAAGTGATGAAGTTGTCCTACATCTCCCTATGACTAGTGACTAATTATTAAATTTCCTCTTGAAGTAAGACAACTCTTGGGACCCAAAGGGGAAATCGATTGGGCTCCAATCACCTTGAGGCTCTGAGCGGCCTATGTTTCTCCGCAACACTAAACCTCACTTGATCCAGTGACTTTTGTCACTCAGCTGGAGGACAAAGCTAAGCTGATTGCTGAGTCCTGCTGATTCATTGATCCAGCAGTGAAACCTTGGTAAAATTGATGTTTTTCCTATGCCATCACGGGCCAGCTGAAACTCCTGGTTGAAGCCAGCGACCTGGAACCCCGGCCGGCACCAGCTGCTTAATTTGGAGCCGGCCTTCGACGTCAAAGGCGGGGACGGCTTCGGGCGAGGGCACCGTCAAGGCAGCCCCTTCCCCACGCAGATCCTCGAAGCCGTACCTGTGGCAGCAATGGAAAATCTACAAATGATGCGAAAATGTGTTGAAAATATGTTTTAACATCCACTTTGTTCAAGAAACAAGTATTATGTACACATCTAACTACCTATAAATCCCTAAATTAGCCATCCACTCACTACCATACTGTCAGTCTCGTCAATCCCCAAATGGCATAAATTTCCACACACTTTCCAAGCAAAAAAAGGTGCCACGTTGGAAGTCACTGGAACCGGCCCACCTGAGATCCAGGTAACAACCTTCAGCCTCTTTGCCCAGCTCAGAATTCCATTCCTCCAACCAGCCAGTGGGATCTTGCACCAAGGGCCTTCAGGGATCCAGGAATTCCATAGACCTGCAAATATTATAGGATATTATATATCTATACAGTACTATACAATCATAAACCACTCTTGGATCTCACCATTTCTGATGACGTTCAACATGATTGAATCATTCGAACCACCAAAAAGGGAACAAAACTACACTTGCGGGTATAGAACCGTTACCCATCCACTGAAAAATTCCAACAAGTTTTGGGTACCCCAGCTTTGGACCAACATGACCAACGCCTTTTGGAATGTTCCAGCTCCATCAGGTCGTGAACCTCCTCCTTTTTCGCCTTTTTCCGGGAATCGGCCGTCACCAGGTCGGAGGCACAACGGGATCTGGCGCGGAGGATGGGAGAAGCTCCGTCCTTGGTCTGGTCCTCCCAGGGGTGAAAATCCTGACCCCAGAAATCTCATATTTTTTGACCGGGAATGTTGATGGGATGAAATGATATCATATTTGGATATATTTGGCAGGATGATTTCCAACATTTCTCGGAGTTTCAAACACGATTAGAAATACTCATTGGAATCTGTACTGTAGTATTTTGGAAATCGAATCTCTGGTATTCAAATGATTGAAGCAAAATCCAGACATCTATGTTCTACAGTGGTGTGTCCGAAAAAGTTTTCTTGTTCGCCCATGTTATAGCTATGTCAAAAAGGATGGTGATGATGATATTTCGCGATGATCCAACACTGGATTTTGGTGATTTTCCCATCGATTTTCAAAGCCACAGCCTCTCCTCCTCTGCTTGATATTGCAACAGCCAGGCCATGCCCGGCGGAAGCTCCTGCCCAGGTTCTTGTAATTCAACCAACCGTTTGTGGTGGAAACAGGCGCCAAACTTGAAAACATGAATTCAAAAAAGAATGTTTCAACACCTGACAAAAAACTCCAAAAACCAGTGTTTTTCAGAAACCCCCCAAAAAATCGGGAGTCTGAAGCACTTCGCTGGGACCATCCTCGCATTGAAAGGATTTGTCTTTGGTAAACAAGGACTTCGCCATGTAGAGCATTTCAGGATGCGATCCCAAGATTTTTTTACCATCACCTGGCAAAGGGACGACATCCAGGGAGGCACTTAAAAAAGGCACCTACTTTCCAAATCTCAATGTTTCATCAGTTAATATTATATATATGTAATGATAATAAAAAAACGGCAGCCCCTGGGAGTGCAGTTTTCCCATGATTTAAGATAATATTTTGCGATGTTTTCCTGCACTCCCAAAGGCACTTTGACAGCTTTGCCTGTGATTCATGCCAGTTTCCTTGAAGTACCCCACACTTGGTAAAAACCGTGGAAAAACAAAAAAATATGTCTAGACTCTTTGGAAGGGGGGGGTCCCAGCCAAGACTCTCTGATTTTTTTTGTTGTTCCAAGGTTTTTTTGGTTTTGGTCACTTTCAGCCATCTGCACCTTTTTGTAAACTGGCCGTTCGGTGTCTTCATGGGTTCAAGATTGCAGGAACCAATCGTTTAACCACTGCAGCTATGAACATACTGGGCCTGAGGATCAGGACTGTGTGTTCCAATTTTGAAATGTTCGGCCATATCCTAGATAATAACCTTAGTTTCATGCTATACTTGTTTTGAAAAACATGTTGCATAGATTGGTGGCACACTTTGCTGAAGTAGCACGACCATTGGAATCTGCTGTAGACTCGTGTTAAACTTTCTTGGAGGGATGCTACACAGATTTGCCAAGAAACTATTCACTTTTAAAACTACATGTACATACATATATATATATAATTATATATTGTTAATGGGGGTAGCTCCCAATCCAGAATCCTCCAAGGTGACACCTGTCACACCAAGTTCCCAGCTGCTGCCTCGCAAGCTTCTTTTGACCACGCTGATCCCACAGCGATATCCGGTCGGCCTCGACCACCAAGCTGCTATGCCCTATGGCTCCAAGGAAGCTATGCCCTCCCTACCCTGCACCTTACAACGGGCTCCCTGAGCCTTCGGTTCCTGCGGCACTCCAAGCTGAATTGGCGTTGGATGAACGCCTCATGAGAAAAACCCGGCAAGTGCTGGTGAAATGTGGACATTCACATTCCCATTATTTCAAAACTTTTATTGGTTTGTACTCATTTCACCTGCATTCGAACGCAACCATTTCAGTCGATTTCGAGCATTGGCTCTGCTCTTGAGGACTTCATTGGCATCGTGCAGGCAGTAGTACCCTTGTCGCAAGGTTTGTCTCAAAAACTGTCCCTCCATTACCTTCGTTAAAGCATCTGCAAGCTGTGCTCCTGAGTGAACCCAATATAAACCAATGTTTTCAGAAAGGATATCTTTGATGGAACGAGCAAGCAATTGTGTACGGAACTCCTGGCAGTTGGGGACAGCTGTACGTGTCGTGAGATCGTATAAACTTTTGCAATCGGTGATTGCCAAATCTTTTTCATCAATCCTCAAGGTGGGTACGGTCACTGCTTCTGGAAGAGTTTTCACTGTCTCTGGTTTTTGCCATGAAATCTTCGGGTCTATCAGCCATGCCCAGTAGACTCGGATCCAGGTCAGTTGATCCAGGGTTGTCGAAAGTGCCGTGGCCTCTGCTGACAAAGTGCTCGTCACTACACGTTGGATCTTTTTTATTCCCCATGACAAAGGACTGATTTTACAAGATTTGTTCTTTGAGATCTCTTTTTGGGTCGCCATGATGATCATGCCAGCATACGATTCAGGTTTTGATTTTGATGCAAAGGATGCATCAGAGAATGCTAAGAATCGAAGTTCATCAATCTTGATAGGTTGGATTCGAATGGTAACATCATGGTGTTTTTTGGCAATGTGTAACGTTTTGTTGGCCATGATCAATGTGGTTACGGTAGCATTGTTGATCTGAGATTGAAGTTGACTGAGTGAACTTGTTAAATCTGGTCTGGTGTGCACGGCCGCATACTGCAAGGATCCTATCAGGCCACGCAGGAGATGTCTTTCTTCTTCTGTCACTGATTCAGTTTCTTGAGCGCGACGTTCGGGTTTCAGGATGATTGGATTGATATTTCGTACATACTGTGATTGGGAAAGTTCAATGCTGTTATCTTGGTTCTGTTTCAGGTCAATGCCAGTGAAAGTGAAAACCCTTGACTTTTTGGATCCGAAAGGATACTTGGACTCGAGCTTCGCGACCTTTTCTTGAAAATACTTGTCTCCACCATACATTCCGTCATCAACATGAATACCCAAAACCCCCGATAGTTCTTGGCTATTAGGGTGTCTGAGAACGAACACACATGGGTCAAATGGGCAAGACTGGAATCCCAAATTGGTGAGTTCCTCCTGAAGGGTCTGAAACCAAAGGAACGGCGCATCAATGAGGCCATAAGCTGACTTGTCTAGTTTACAAATTTCTCCTGGCTTCAAGGTCATGGCTTGGGCAAGTTCACTGACGGGGTCAAGTCCAATGATACGGTCTTTCTGGGGTTTTCCCTGGAGAAACGCTGCTTTAATATCAAAGGATCCCAACGACCAACCCATGGAGGCTATTAATTGGAGTATGACCATCTTTGACTGTTTTCCCAGTGTGGGGCTGTCTCTCGGTACTTCGGTGATTTGAGGATCCATGTAACCTAACACAACCAAACGTGCCTTTGGCTTGTGGGTTTTGAGCTTACTTTGGACTTCTTTGGGATCGGTGGATGTCCCCTCCAGTGGTTTCCAAGTCAGGATCCAGCGGCATCGCAAAATCTGCTCAGGGGCCAATTTTGCTTTTAAGATCCTAGATACTGTTCCGGTCTTCAGCCAGTTTTGGATCTCCGCTTCTTTCGCCTGTGCAAATGCTTTCTGTTCTTCGGCTGTCAATGCTGATAACTTCACCTCAGTGCGTTGCTTCTTTTCTGTTGTTGCAATCAAGAGTTCATCGGGGGACCAGTCATCTAAATGATTTACATCAATCCATGACGGTACCTCCAACTCACATTTCCATGCACAGGGTGTGTCAGCGGGATCAACATGCATGACGATGTCCTCACAACATAGCAGGTGAGTGGTGATCATCTCATCGTCACTCGCTGACTCTGGGATCGGAATTTCTACTGCTGGGTCATGTTCAGGGCCCCCAGCGGTTTCAGCACTTGGATTATTGATTTCAGGTTCAATGTCTGGTTGATCTTGGGATTGACTGTGGTCATCTGAATTTGATCTTTGATCTGTGGATATTATTGGTGGTGCCGTTATGGTGGTTTCTGGGCTGTTATCTGATGGGATTACTTCTGGAATCTGGGGAATTGGATTTTGTGGATTCTTAAGAGGCTCTTCCTCTTGGGTTATCTGGCTCACCTCTGCGGAACACACTGGACGGACATGTTCCAAAGCTCTCCGGAAAAGTTTCCCCCCTTGGGTGGCCCAAATGGATGTTTTACCTTCTTGAGCTACTACTTTATGGGGTCCAAACCAGTGTCCTCCATTTGTTTCGGGTTGCCATAGCATCACCCATTCTCCCACCTCATAGGCGTTCCTATCAGGACGTGTTCTGCGGAGACAGGCCCGCCGGAGGGCCTGATCATTGTTAGCCTGATGGAATGCCACTCTGGCTTTCTCACGGAGTGCTAAGCTCTGGCGGAACGCTATGCCATGTGCATCTTCACGGCAGGCACTTGTGAGTGAGGACATGGAATCGGTGCTACTTAGTGATCCAGGCAGCCTTGAACTCTTACCAAACACAAGCACTTCAGGTGAATACCCCTTGCGGATGCTCAGAGTATTCTTTGCATGGGTACATTGTGCCAACGCCCTTTGAAGGTCGACATATGTTTGGATTGGCATGTCCTGGTCCACCTTTCTCAGCATCGCTTGCAAAATTTGTCCGTGTCTTTCACAACGGCCGTTCTGCCAATGAGCATGTGGTGCGGCTGTCACTAGTTTCACATCATTTTTCTGGGCAAACTCCATGAAAAGGCTACTGGTAAACTCAGTACCTGCATCAGTTACCAACATGTTGGGTGGACCGGCCCATTGAAACCAGCTTTCAGCGACACACTGCACTGCATTTTCGGCGGCACGGCTCGGGGCAGGTGTTGCCACATGAAAGTTTGTTGATTGATCGAGGATGTGATAAAAGTGAAAAGTCTTCCCTCCTTTACTGGTCCAGGTGATCCCATCTATGAATATCTTATCATTGAAGTCTAATTCATGTTTCAGGGTACTTGGACGAGATATCTTTGGTTGTTGTTGGGAAGCACATGTGGCACATTTCATGTCGAACACTGCCTGGGATACTTCAGGGCGAGCTCCCTGCATTCGAAGTACCTGACTGAGTTGTTCAGGCCGAGGGTGGCACAAGTTTTGATGTGCCCTCCGCAACATGGCTTGTTCTTCTTTTGGCAGCGCCAGAAATCGGTTGCCTCTGGCTGGACTGCCATCTGGATCTGTCGGTACTTGGCTTTCAGAGGGTGGCATCTCTTCAGTGAGGTTTGGCTTCATCTGATCTTCTGACTTTTGAACATCTTCTGACTCTACGGCATCCTGCTTCAGATTTTCTCTGCCTACCTCTGAATCCAGAGGGCTATCCGAGCTCTCTGGAAGGGATTGTGGAGCCACTGTGGGCTCGCATGGTGGCATTACGCTCGCTTGGTCGCCTTGAGGCTGATGGGTCTGTATAGGATTAGCCGCAAAGACAGTTATATTCACTCGGCAGGGTTGGGATTTTCGAATCACCTTTCTTTTTGCAAGTTCATCATATTTCTCCCAGTCATCTACGGTGATCTTCCCAGTGCTTCGGAGTTTCATGATTGAACGGCGAAAGGGAGCTTCTTTTGATGTGAGGTTATTTGGGGGAGCCATTGTACGCTCAGTCCCTTTACATGCCAAAATTCCCTTGATGATCTTTTCGGGGAATGCTTCTTGAACAAGTTTCATGATTTGAGGGGTATCCATCATTTTCTTTCCTACCCTAGGAAGTAGGGGTTCAACTGTCTGCATGATTTGGATGGCTTTGTCCTCGATTTCTTTGGAAAGGATAACCTGATCTGTGGTGTGCTCACTGGTGATGTCTGATTTCTGGGTCTTGCATCGCTTGACATTCAGTTGCTGGCTGAGTGA